TGATTTGGATTATTTTTACTGAAATGAGGTACTTAAATGAGTACCTTAAATGAGTTCAGCCTGAAGGTCTAGCTGAGACCAGCTCTAACATGGGGCTGTTGGATGCCCTGAGGTGTCCTGGCTTTTCAGAGTGTGTTATTCAGAGGACTACAGGGCCAAAAGCTCCTTCTCAGAAGGATCCCATTTTCAGACAGTGCAATGACAGATGTGGAAATGACTTTTAAGAGTATCCCAGGAAAGCCCCTAAATAAATCAGAGCAGGGAATTATTGGTTGCACTTGAGAACTTGTCTGTAGGGGAACTGTTCTTGTTTCAGAGGGGATGTGATGAGCCTTGACATCAGTGGTTATTCACTGTTCCTGTCACACTCTCACCCAGGAAACATTCTGATATTAATGAACAAAAGCAGGCAGAGCACCTATCTCAGGTGGAGTGGAAATTGTTCAGACAGTGGATAAACTGTGTGTGTGGATACCAGTGGAATTCCTGCCCTTGCTGGTGCAGGGAAGGTTTGAGTCTCTTCCTGAGTCTCTTCCCTCTCTCTGGTGCTGGGACAGGACGTCTCAAAGTTGCAGCAAAATTACAGGTTTTATTTCTACTCCTCCTTGGACATCAGTGTCTTGGAATAGCCTGCTGCAAATGTCATCCTTGATAAAAAGCCAAGGTGAATTATAGTAAGTGTAGCTGAAGAATAAACTTCGCTGGAGCAGCTGAAACTTTTCAAGGCCCATTTTGGATATTCATACCCTAAATGTAGGTATGGTTTGGGCCAAGTTTACAAAGGATGATTATGCATTTCTTGTATCTTGATTCTCTGACTCTTCCCCAGGCTGTTCCTCCTGATTCCAGCAGTTAAGTGATACAGCACAACTTATTACTTTTTAAAAAGCATAATCTATTTTTAGCATTGCTCCCTAATCCAAACCTTCTGAACTTAATGAAAGATTTAAATCTGGAAGCTCTTTAGCTTTTAGGATGCGAATTTGCCTACAAATAAAAATGTCAGCAAAACATTCATTTCCACTTTGATTCTGCTTGTCTGTTAATGTATATTTGATGTTGGTATATGTGTGTGTTTGTGTATAGACATGTACTTGTCATTGGATGGGCATGAAAATCAAGTGAGCCTCATGTACAGGAAAGTAAGTGTGAGCAGGGTATGGATTCAGGCATGAAAACACTACTTTGGATGATGATAATCTGTGATAAGGCCAAATACACAGTCCCAATTTACTCAGTGTTGTACAGGACGTGGCTCCTTCCCTCCACATCCATTTCAAAGGGCTGACTCTGCTGAAATTCAAACTCCTTTAAAACACAGTTTTGAAATCAGTGGTCCTTGCAAAACGTTGAAATGAGTTCTGGGAAATACTTTAAGGCTGACATCTTTCCACGAGAGAGATCCAGGCTGTTGCCCACATCTTTTTTTACTCTAAAATCTGCCGTGCATGTGAGGCAGAAGGGGCTGAGAGGGCTGAAATCCCTTTTTGTGTGTCCTCCCCCTGCCAAACCCGGGTGGGCGCTGCCTGCGGTGCCTTTGGGCTTGTTTAAAATCTTTGTTGCTCCGTGTTCCTTGGAGATTTAAGCATCGGTGAGGGATGAGACAGCCTTTGTCCTTGTCCGCAGGGTGTCGGTGAGTTATTGTGCTCTGAACAATAGAGGGAACAGTCAAACAAGGCAAAGTCTCCCCCCCGAATGCTGAACATGCTCTCCTGTGGTGTGGCACCAAGCCTGGCACTGCACCCAAGGCTTGTGGGGTTTTTTTTAAGGCTCCCCAAATGCTGCGGTTGGAACAAGCAGGAAAAACAATCCCACCTCTTTCTGAAGTCGTGGGACAGGGGCTGAGTAAAAACCTGAGCAAAGCTGGAAGAAGCGCTTCCCAAATTGCTGCTCCCAGCACAAAGAGCTGCCCACAGGAAGGGGAAGAGGGTTTTTTTGGGTAAGAACAGCGGAGCCTGCATACATGTGGCGTTACTCCTGGATCGGATTTCTGGGAAAATAATCCATTGTCTCATCTCTCGCGAGCCACATCCAGCCCTTCAGGCTCCGGGCGGGCTCTGCCCTCGCGTGGCTGCGGAGCTTTGGAAAGAAAGGGTTTGGAGCCGCTTGGGCACCATCCAGCACAGAAAGGGGCTCCCAGGGGCAAATTCCTCTGCAATCCATGTGTGTCCCGGCCACTGCTGCTGGAAGAGGCTGTCCATAAGCAGACACCCTCCTCTGGCAGCCGTTTAAATAAAATTTAAACTGGGGAGGAGGGAGGTTTAGTTAAAAGCATCCCATTTCTTCGACCTGTTCTTGCACGGTCTCATCTACACAAATATAACTTCAGACAGCATTTATTCTTCTTTGAATAATAAACCACTTTTAATAACCTAGAAGGGACCTGCATATGTTTCTAGCTGCTTTTTCTATTTGAGGTATATAAGGGAAATTCCAGCACGTGTCTAAAGTTAATATTTCCATTTCATCCCTGCAAGACCCTCCCCAAACTATGGAAAACATCAGGATTGTTCACGCTGAGCTCTCTCTGGATTTTTCACGAGTACTTTCTGTAACTGGCACCTCTCTGGGTACTTTTATGCAGCTGTTCTGAGCTTCCTTTTAATTCTGTACAGTTACAGCTGCCTGACAAGAAAATTGAGTGTCTTGTTTAAAACACCAGCAAAACTTAAACTTCTTTGGGAGCTTGTGGGCATTGTTACAGCACTAGTAAGGATTAAAGAGACAAGTCAAGGGGGTTTTAATAAGACTTTTAAAAATAATATTATAGAAAAGTATGCACAGTGTGTGAGGATCTGGTTATTGGTTCAGTGGTGAATCGGCTCCAAATTATTTCTGATTGCAGGCACCTTTGGAAAAAAGAAAAAGAAATTTGTAGTCATTATTTCTCTTCTCTTACTCCCATTTAGAAGATGAGTTCTGAGGCACAAGGCCCTTCCTCAGGGATGTTTGCTGGGAGCAGTACCAGACTGTGAGCTCTCCTAAAACCGGTGTGTCCAAGCTAGAAAGGAATAAAAATGATACTTCTTACACCCTCTCAAGCGGCGATTTTTAATGCTAACCGAGACTTTTAATGTAAAGTCAAGTTTTAAACCGCGGTGTGGCCAAACCCGCAGCGCTCCGCTGGCACCGGGCTTTGACAACGCCGCAAATGGGATGCGAACTGTCCCTATTGTGGTGGTTAAATTAAGGTTATTGATCACCGTCTAACGAGGGCCGGCGTTAATGAGGGCGTTAATGAGGGCAGCCCGCAGCAATGGGAGCTGGGGGGAGAGCAGGGCTCGTCCTGGGCACGACGTGTAATTGTATTTGGCAGATGGAGCTTTGAGAGCGGCGAATCCAGTGATAAACTGGATTACTCTTCCCTTTAAAGAAAGCAGCTAATGTGGCTGAAAAGGAGCTTTCACTGTCATCAATTCATGCCGGGATCAATGCAGGGGAGGAGAGATTAATCCTTTGCAAGGCTCCACCTGTCTTGTAATTCTGGGCGTTCCATAAAGGTGCATGAGTGTAGTGGATGATACCTTTTTATAAAGCGTTTGGGAAGCATAAATTAGGAGCTGGGGGATGCTCATGGTGACAACTCAGGCAGGTCTGAGAATAAAAGGAATTTTCTAAAAGCCAAATTCTACGTTTTCTGATTTCCAAAAGGAATTTTCCAAATTGCTCCTGAAGGAACAGAGCTGAACAAGTGTCGTCTCGGATGTAATTTTTCTCTCTGTCTTTCACTTCAAGGTAAAGGGAAGAGGATCCACTCTTTAAATACAAGTATAAGAACAAATTCAGCCTGTGTAGCTGGAACAACTTATGCTCCTGCTGTGGGTTGTGTGTTCAGTCACAATGTGACTTCCCAGGGCTGTGAACTCTCCCACTTTCACAATATTTGGCCCAAGAAGCAAAATATTTAATCTCTCTTTTCGCAGGGAAAAACCCCTGTGTTTTTAGGATTTTCTCTTGAACAGCAAACCTGAAGAACAACCCAACTGCCCTCTGAGGATTCAAACCCAGGAGGCAGATGGCATTTGTGCCCTAGAAATCCCCGTGGAAACTTGGCTGGAAAATATTTGGTGCCAGGGCAGACCTGGGGGATCCCTGACCCCAAATGCCTGTAATTTTCCACACCTCTGATCTTTTGGGTCAGTTTTTAACTGAGTTTGAACTTACCATGGCGTATCCACGTTCAGAAGTTGGAGATGGGCAAATCCAACCATTGATCCCTGATTTTTATTCAGTTTTAGTGTGGATGCAGTGCCAAAACTCGAACAGACAGTGCCTAATGCAGTGCTGGTCGAACATCCTATTTTTCTGCGGTGTATCATCTTCTGGGCCAGGTTTTAGGGCGTTAACACACATTTTGGGGTTTTTGGCTGACATTTCAAGGGCTCTGCTTCCCTCTAGTGGGTCCACTTGGCACTTTCCTCCCGTTTTTCTTTCTGTTTAAAATCCTGACAAACGCTTTTTGGCAATTTATATTTTTTCCTGACGTTGCTGTTCAAAGACACTTCCCTGTCCTACTTGTACCACGCTTTTCTTAAGTTTAACCCTCTTCCTCCCAGGCCTGTCTTTTATTTCCAGTGCTGAAACAAAAGAGCATCATCAGGGAAGAGACTCCAAGCCTTGTCAGAGTGACACAGGGATAAAGTGATGGGCTCTGAAGGATGTCTGGGTGGAATTACTGCTTTTAAATTAAGGTGATAAGAGGTGAAGGCAAAACTGAGGGGTTTATCTGGAGTGCACAGAGGGGGTGGGTGTGAGTTCAGTATTGGCAGCTCTGCAGTGTGAAGCCATCTGCTCTCCCTGCTCCAACAGCAGTGTGAAAATGCCTGTGTTTGTAGAAATGTCCCCTTTCATCAGCTGCAATCTGCCCGGGAAGCCAAGCTGGTGGGTTTTCTTTGATGCTGGGAAGCAAAGGAGAAGGAATCCAGCCGAGACCTGGCTGGTGAGACCCGCCAGGGCAGAGATGCCCCCCTGAACTGTCACCACTGGCATCTGTTTTCCAGCTTCCTGTTCTGTTTGGATGTGCAAGGCTCAGACTGAGTTTAAGAGGGTGGCTGAGGAAAACGTGACCCTGCCCTGTCACCACAGCCTGGGCCTTGTGGAGCAGGGCAGCCTGGACATCGAGTGGCTGCTGCACATCTCGGAAACCGTGCAGAAAGCGGTAGGTTGGCTGAGAAAATCCTCTTCTTTCTGCCTTGACACCACCAGCCACTGATTTAACAAAACTCCTGTGATGATCCCTGCAAGTTACTCTGCTGACCTTTAGAAAACACGGCTGATTTAGAGAGATTTATCATGTATACAGGTTATTTGATAGCCACACGTGCTGTGTTGGAGCAGGTTCTGTTACAATCATGTTTCCTTTATCCAGGGGTGACTGATAATATTTCAAGTTCAGAACTGCCCTTCAGGTTTTCCAAAACGACCTTGGGTTTTGCAGGCCCAGTTTTTGAATCCTTGGTTTCAGGAAAAACATACAGGAGTTCAGTACTTATAAAAATGAGGTCTGCAGTAACTTAAATTAGCTCAGCCAAGCCTACAGACTGCCTGGATATATTGTGACATGAGCTGATGTCTATTTTGACAGTTGTATAAATGCTCCAATCTCTAGCATAAATACACTTTATGTGCCATTCCCAGACTAGAAATCCAGGTTTAATTTTCCACCCTGCCACAGGTTTCCTGTGTGACCCTTGGCAAGTCACTTCACCAGGCAGAACCTTGGGCTGGAGTTCCTGGAAAGGCTTTATTTGTTGTTCTGTGTGAAAGTACAATCCCAGCTGGCTGTCAGTGCCTGTCTGTGCCCCTCAGGTGATCACCTACTCCGGGGGCCGTGTCTATGATGACCTGAATGAGGAGCAGAAAGGCCGTGTTTCCTTCACATCCAACTTCCTGGCTGGAGATGCCTCCTTACAGATCATCTCCCTGCAGTCCAGCGATGCAGGGAAGTACATCTGCAAGGTGAAAAATGCTGGGCGGTACGAATGGTCTCGAATCACCCTCAAGGTGGTAGGTAAGGACACTTTATTGCTAAAAAAAAAATAAAATAAAAAAATAATTCTAGACTCGCTTCCTGGAGAGAGATTTATTTCAGCAGGGTATAAATGCACAGAGACATCTCACAGTCAGGTTTCCCTGTCCAACTCCATATCTGCCTTTGTGGTTTTTTGGCAAAGGACAGGCCACAGGAAGAGCCTAAAGAGTGGGTTTGAGGTATGTGATTATCCACAACAACATATGAACTGTTCTTTAAATTATCCCGATGATCTCATCACCCAAACTGGGCTGATCACCCTGTCCAGATCTGCTGTGTGCTGTGAGTTCATGTCCCAGGACCCCAGCCTGGTCCCAAGTCAGTGGAGGTGACAAATAAGCTGCCATAATTAGTATTTCCTTTCCCTGAGTTCAGCTCATAGGTTGGCTTTTCCATGTACACCGTGATCCCGTGGAAGAAGTGCTGTGTCCTGGCAGATGCTGTGGGGAGAAGGAAGAAATGGGGAAGTAGGGGGAGGGAAAGGATGTTCTCTAAATAGTGCCCAGAAGAGGAATGTGGTGGTACAACTTCACAGGGTATCATAAACACACTGAGAAGTTGCACACAGTTGCAGCTCAAGTCGCCTAAAATCCATCACTGGTGTGATTCCTGAAGGCATTCCAGGGAAAGCAGCTCTTGGAAGCTGCAACGACTGTTCCTTGCCAAAGAAAGGGTTCGCTGTGTTTGCATGACCTGTCTTCTGCTCCTCCTAGAGAAACCTTCCAAGCCCAAGTGCTGGCTGGAGGGGGAGATGCTGGAAGGGAAGGAGCTGTCCCTGCAGTGCCGCTCTGCCTCTGGCACCGTGCCCATCTCCTACCGCTGGCAGCGCATCAACGAGGAGGACAGAGCTGAGCACCTCCCGCCCAACTCCAGAGTCAGTAAGTGTGGGCATTGCCTCGATTCCAGAGGGGCAGTTCCTCGATTCCAGAGGGACAGTTCACAGAATCATAGAATCATAGGATCAGCTGGGTTGGAAGGGACCTCTGAGATCATCAAGTCCAACCCTTCATCCAACCCCGCTGTGGTTCCCAGCCCATGGCACTGATGCCACATCCGGCCTTATCTTAAAAACTGCCAGGGATGGAGAATCCACCACTGCCCTGGGCAGCCCATTCCAATGGCTGATCACCCTCTCTGTAAAGAATTTCTTCCTAATATCCAACCTAACCCTCCCCTGGCACAGCTGAAGACCCAGCCCTCTTGTCTTGCTGATGGTTGCCTGGGAAAAGAGACCAACCCCCCCCTGGCTCCCCCCTCCTGTCAGGGAGTTGCAGAGAGTGAGGAGGTCTCCCCTGAGCCTCCTCTTCTCCAGGCTGAGCCCCTCCAGCTCCCTCAGCCTCTCCTCACAGCACTTGTGCTCCAGTCCCTTCTCCAGCCTTGTTCCCCAATTCCAAGGTCAGTGAGTCAGGGCAGTTCCTCAATTCCAGGGTCAGTGAGTCGGGGCAGTTCCTGGAGCTCTGGGAGCTCTCAGAGCTGGATAACTCCCACATGGCCGTGCCCATGGACAGTCACCTGCCTGCTCTAAAAATGGGATCACTCAGTGGCAGTGACAGGGATGATCCCACAGCTCCTCTCACTGCTGCAGTTGGACCTTGTGGGGTGCTCCACCCCGAGCACGAGCAGGAGGAGTTTGCTCAATGCTTTATTGACCCTTTGATTGCCCTGGGACTGATTTGATCCACAAGTTCAATTTGTGGACACTGCTGCATCTTACCCTCGGTTAAAGATTTTTAGCCTGGTTGATTAATCCCAGTGGTGTTTCCTCCCGTTTCAGACATTTCTAATCCCGGGCAAGTCCTGCTGAAGAACCTCACCCAGATGAGCACGGGGTTGTACCAGTGTGTGGCCACCAACGAGGCTGGGCAGGAGAGCTGTGCTGTGCAGGTGACAGTGCAGCGTAAGTACTGCTGCAAACTGGGGTTCACACACGTGGTTCACACACCTTTGCCCTTTTGTACTTTAATCCCATAAAACAGTTCTTATTTATACTTATTTATTGCAGTTAGGGTTTGCACAGCAGCCCTCTGTATAACCTACAGTGGCAAAAACATCACAACCTAAAGTGACAGAAAACATCACAAGCTAAAGTGACTAAAACATCATTTGGGCTCAGATTTTTCGGTCTGTTAGAAATGTTGATTTTCAGAATGACTAATGGCATAAAAGGAGGGAAAACTGTGAGTTAAAGGTTCCAGAGCCTGCAGCTTTTGAGGTACTTCTGGCTGGAGTGGCTGCATATTGTTCTCAGGTAGAAACTCTCTCTGTGGATGTTCCATCAATTCAATTCCAAATTATTTATCTGTTGCACTCGGGACACTGAACTATCTAAAGACAGCTGGAAGGGCTGATTCTGACACGCAGTAACGTGGAGCAACTGCTGACGTTTTGGTTTTAATCCAAATTTAATAAATTCTGTCCAGAGCACCAGAAGTTAAAATCTGTGTTCTGCCTGATAAAACCCATCAAGGGTGGAGCGTCCTTTGCATATTCATGGCAGGAAAAGGGTGGAGTTTAGCATCTAAAAATCCAAACAGTAGAGTTTAGCAGCTCTCAGAGGAGATCAGCAGGAGCTGGAACTGCTGTGATAAAAGACTGCTAAAGGCGAGGTCTCTTCTTGGAGATTCCGCAGCTTTTGGAACTTTTTCTGCCCGGCCAAGCCTGAAATAACTGGAATATGGTCACGCAGCAAGGAAAACCGGTTTGCCTCAGGCATCTGAAGTAAAAGCGTCCGGGCAGCTTTTATGCCAATTGAACTGAATTGGTTTAAAACCTCATCGGGTTTGCTAAACCCTCCGTAGGGACGAGCCTTAAGGAAACAACTTTTAGCCAAGCCCAGCCCAACCGACCAGAAGTTGTCATAAAGTATCAACCAAGGGCCCGTAATCGCTGGGAAATGTCTCATCTTTTCTGTTTTGGAGGAAAAATGCCACGCACAGGATGCTCTTTTCTTTCTACCTCTTTCTTCCTCTCTCTGACCCAGCTCGGGTCACTTTTTCCCCCACGATTAAATAATTCCTTCTGGAAAAGGGGTTGTAATCACTTCAGGGTAAGTCGAAGGGGGGAAAAAAAATCCTCACGGGGAAATATTCGCAGTTCAAACACTCTCGTGCCTCCAGGAACCTGCTCGGTGCCGTGTTTCACATGTCTGTGCTTTCGGTGGCTCTGTGCTCAGAGGGGAGGATTTTTCCTCCTCGTTTCGCTCTGACCCACAGCTGAAGGCACAGCCCTTGTGATCCCACCCTTCCAGAGCTTTTCTCACCCTCAGCTCAGCTTCAGCGACAGTGCCTGGAGATAAACTGGTTCAACTTCTGTGTGGAGACACACCTAAATAAACAAACTGGCACGTTCTGTTCTGATTTATGTAAGTTGTAGTGGCGACTAGAACCTGACCGCGCAACTCCAGTGAGAATTTATCAACTAATCCGTCTGTTTTCCGGACAACAGATGCCCAAAATATCGGCATGATCGCCGGGGCAGCGTGTGGGGTGGTGGTGGGACTCTCCCTCCTCCTCCTGGTGGTGAGGCTGACGATAAGGAGGAAAGAAAAGAAGAGATATGAGGAAGAGGAGGCACCAAATGAAATCAGGTAACGCCTTGCACTTAATCCCCCACCTCCCACGCTCCCTCCTCGCAGTTTCACACATCTTTTCAGTAAAGATTTAAGTGGCTGTAAGTAGGGATAAGTGTTGCCAAAGTTTGTTCTAAATAGCTCTTAAAGTCTCTGTGAAATAGCACTGACAAATTTCTTCACTTGTGAGAATCTCTGTGAAGACTTTCCAGAAAATCAGATTAAACATCCCCCCCACACCCCCAGGGCAAATCGGCATAAAACTCTCTCTCACATTTGCAATTTCAGCATTTTAAAGCATTTGCATAATCTTTTATGCTGTTAAATCCAACCCACTTGCCCATTGTGGCTCTGAGAGGGTTTGGGGGGTTTTAGTTCTCCTTCTCCTTCTTTCTTTCTCCTTCTCCTTTCTCCTTTCTCTTTCTCCTTCTTTCTCCTCCTCTTTCTCCTTCTTTCTCCTTCTCTTTCTCCTTCTTTATCCTTCTCTTTCTTCTTCTTTCTCCTTCTTTCTCTTTCTCCCTCTTTCTCCTTCTTTCTCTTTCTCCTTCTTTCTCTTTCTCCTCCTTTCTCTTTCTTTCTCCTTCTTTCTCCTTTCTCTTTCTTTCTCCTTCTTTCTCCTTTTTCTTTCTTTCTCCTTCTTTCTCCTTTCTCTTTCTTTCTTTGTCCTTCTCCTTCTTTCTCCTTCTTTCTCTTTCTTTCTTTCTCCTTCTTTTTCTTTCTTTCTCTTTCTCCTTCACCTTCTTTTTCCTCCTTTTCTGTCTCCTTCCTTCTCCTTCTCTCTCCTTCTCCTTTCTCCTTCTCAATCGCAGTTTTTATTGGGAATGCTCCAAGACTGGCAGGTTCTCTCAGTCCTCCTTGAGCCTTCTGAACAACTGTGCTCTGGATTTAGCCTGGGTGAGCAATCCTTGAGCTGTCTGCGAGGGGACACCCTCACCCCGGCAATGCTGACACATGTTCTTGGGGCTCATCTGTTCCAGGCCTGCCCCTTAACTCCCCTAAGCAGAGATTGGTCTCCAGCCAACCCAGCCTAAACCCCTCAGGAAGGAAAGCACTGGAAAGATCTATTTCCAGGAAGGAGTTTTAGCTGCTCCTGCCCTGGAAGAAACAACCCTGTGCCTTGATCCATCTTTGGGTCTATTTGTATGACTGCCCTCATCTGACATCTCTGTAATCCCTTCAGCAGCTGATCCCTCTGCCTCACACTCAGGTTGCCAGCCTGAAAGCAGCCTCTGCTGATTCCTTCCCTTCCCTTTTTCCTGCTTTCTTTGCTTTCTCACCTTGCATGAATTTTCAGTTGGAGCCTCACCCTCTTGTATCACCTTTTCACGCCTGACTGTTACATCCTCTCTCTCTTTCTCTCAGGACCCAGTTCTTGCACTTCTTTCTCTACCCACAGGTTATTTTAAGTGGAAGAACTGGTTTCAGCTAGTCTTGCCCAGGCCATTTCTCATTATGAGTCAGGATTACAGAGCAGACAGTTCTATCTGAGCTGTTTGCAGTGACACTTGGTATTTGTTATTTGTTCCACACACAGAGCTGTGTGTGTTTATCCCAAACCTGTTTGACCAGCAGCCTGCAGGGCAATAGGGGGTTCAGTCCACCAAGTTACAGAGCACAGAATTCAGAAAGCAGATAACAGAAATTATTCCTGGACAGATACTCCCTGGTGATTTGCAGCTTCAGGGAGCAACTGCTTATGGCAGTGGTGAAACAAGGAAGTGGTGTTTGAGCCCCTGCCATCTGTTTGGTTGCAGAGAAGATGCAGAGGCACCCAAGGCCCATCTGGTCAAGCCCAGCTCCTCCTCCTCTGGCTCCAGGAGCTCCCGCTCAGGTTCCTCCTCCACCAGGTCCACAGCCAACAGTGCCTCCCGCAGCCAGCGGACTTTGTCCACGGAAGCCACCCCTCACCTCACCCCTCCCCAGTACAGCCAGAGGGAGAGGGAAGGGAAGGAGACGGAGCCAAAGAAGGTCGACTACAACAACCTGATGAAAATGGGAGCCACGCTGGTGATGGTGCCTGCCCAGAGCCGGGCCTTCCAGACCGTGTGACCCTCGGGAGGCTCCTGCCGCCCAGAAACACTTCACACACCACCAGCCACATAGGAGTTGTTAGATTAGCTAATTATCTTCCTGGTCAGCTTCATTTTAATCACTCGTGATTATTCACACCACAAGAAGCCCTCCCACTTAACTCTCGTACATCTCCCAGCACTGAGGTTATGACACAGGATTTTCTTTTATTGAAGTTCCAATACGGGATTTTCTTTTATTGAAGAAAGATACATTTGAGGGAAAAGGGAGCCATTTGAGGGAAAAGGGAGCCATTTGAGGGAAAAGGGAGCCATTTGAGGGAAATGGGAGCTTCTTTTTAAATTATCTCTTATTGAGTTTTTTGGTTTTTTTGGAAATGGAACACGGAGCATTTAAAAACTGCAACAGCAAAGCGCTGTGCAGGTGAAAAGAAACCAAACCTCAGGATTTTTTAAAAGGGATCAACAGAGACATAAAGATGCATAATGTGCCAGAGAGAGGTTTTGTGGGGGAGGGAGAAGTCTCTTGTACTGGTTTTGGAGAACTTTCTCAAAGATGCATGGTCTCACCTGAAGATTTTGAGGGCAGGCTGGTGTCCAGCCTCAAAGGGGACTGAAGGTGCTTCACGTTTTCTCCATTCAGTCTTCTAGTGAAATGCTTTTGGAGGCTGGAACTGAAGTGGAAATGAAAGGAACACTCCAACAGGTCAGGAGATGCAGTATTAAGGCAAGTGTCTGAACTGAACTCTGTATTAAAGAGAAAGGACCTTTTATGTCAAGAAAACAGAGGTGCTTTAATTGCCAGAATAAACTTACTGGTGCACCCAGAGACACGGCCTGGAGCCTGCTCTGCTTTCATGGCCAGCACTGCAAAGCCACAGAAACCCCTCTGGAGTGGGGTCTGTGGCAAATGAGCCTTAGTGAGATGAGAACTGGGCCCTGAATCCAGAAGGGAGGCAGTTCCTCAGAAGGGAAGGGCCACCAATCTACCAAAAAGCCTGGATGAAGCATTTGGAAGATATTTGTCCTTGGCAGGTGGTGAGTTCCCCAGTTTTGGGGTGAGCTGTGCTGTAGAAGCCTTATGGAGAGCTCTTCCCAAGACTGAACCAACAGCACTCTTGAGGTGGCCTCCAGGTAAGACTGAAGGACATGAGGAAAACACACCTGGGACAGGTAAACCAGCACAATGCTGCTTCCACTAGGAGATATTTGTGTGCATTGTCCCATTCCTACACCAAATGCTGGGCCACGTGCTATAGCTGAGGCTTAAACCTTTAGCAAGGTTCTTTAAAAACTGCAAGAATTGTAAAGAATATTTTTTGTGATTAACCAGACTAAACATTTGCAAGGAATATAAAGTCTTACACTTCAAGTTGAAGGCCAATAGGAAAGGATGGGAGACAGATGCAGAGTTCTGTCATTTGTATTTTCCTCTGAAGGACTTGGCTCTGACCACTGCTACACACAAGACACTGAGCTTGTAGGTTTTAGATTCCTGTATTCCTGGACTGATGATTTTCTGTTAAAAAAAAAAAAAGAGGGTGGACTTTTTTTTTTTTCCATTTGAGGGGAGGGAAGGTTTTCTTCAGTTTGTGGGATGAGTCTATAGAAGATGGACCTGCACAGAAAAACCACAGATCTATAATTCTTTCACTCCAGGACTGTAATTTATCTCCTTTTTTGACTGAGGGTTGGAATTACAACTTCCTTACTTGAGATCTTAAACAACCTGATCAAAGCCAAGCCCTGCTTGGGCTGCTTCCATATGGGAAATAGATTTCAGACTTCCCCTATATTATATGAGAAACTCTTTTCCTAGGAGCAGTCACCCATTTTCATCAGATGTACCAAAATTTCACTCGCTTTCTCTACCCCTGAGTCAACCCTTGGCAGGACAAAGGGCTGATGTTGTGCAGGGAAGACAATCCTGAGCCACAGGTTGAAGCAAAGGAGAGCTGGTGTGAGGTGTTTGATAAGATGCTGCTCCCATGGTGTTGGATCCTGGTGTTGGATACTCTGTCATTTTACCCAGAGAGCTTCCCTGGGTGCTCCAGGAGCACATTCCTGATCGGCTGTTTGTTGCAGCAGCTGTAAGTGCCTGTGATTCCTGTGCAGTTGCTCTTTTCCTGAGCCCTGGGGGAATCCCAAGAGCAGGAATAGGATGGCTAAAGCAGTTTGGGGCTTCTCCTGTGGCTGCCTATTGTGCTTCATGTCACCTGTGCTGCAGCTGAGGATCCTCACTCCGTGCACACAACCCCCCGAGTGCTTCTCTCCTGCCTGGGCAAGCAGGAGCTCCTCACCACAAACTGAGGGTGACAATTCCAACAGCTCAGCTGGTCCCAGCCTGAGAACCAAAGGTTGGCTTTGAGTCACGGGCCAGACTTGTAATTATTAGGGAGGAGGATCCTCTGTCTGCAGCCTGGAGGCTCGGAGAATGCACCGGCCTGCTCCTGGCGGAGTTTCTGGAGGCCTTTGGGAATTAGCTGCAGGACAGATCAGCTGTGGCAACCCTCTCCTGGTGTCCCAACCCTCCTGGAGCAGAGAAGTCACTCCTTGCCCTGTGAGGCATCGCTGTGACTGCAGGGGCTGAGAGGTTTATGAGCCTTTTGGTGAAGGTCAGTTGGAGGAATGGCTGAAGCCTGGAATGTGTGATCATTCCTGGCTGTTCCAAGCCCTGTTGGGAAGCAGTTCAGGTACCTGCTATCCAGGTATCTGCATAGAAACCCTGCCAGAAAAAGCACCTCTCCTGCCATGCAACAAAGGTGTGTGGCCCTGCTTAGGGAACGTGGGCACCACAATGATTTAAAATCACTCACTCTGAAACACTGAGGTGCTTTCCAGCCCCCACATCAGAGATCTCCCAGGGGAACACAAAGTCAGTGCTGCACTTCTGCTGCCAGCGGGAAACCCAGAGGGAAAATTCATTACTCAAAGGGAACAGGAGAAAGAGATCATTCCAAAGGTATTCTATTTTCAGGAGTTGCACAAGGGAAGCAAATGAACCATAAGCCAAACTCTTTGTAAAATAGTGTATTAAAGCATTTACTGTCATATACCAGTTATTACTTGTGTGATTAAATGCAGACCATGTTATGTAGCTTTCTTTTTGTTTCTCAGCAGCTGAACTAAGCTTCCATCTCTTCTACCTGCTATAATTGGTGTACTTGTACTGTGTCCGAACAGCTCAGAGGAAAGCAAATATTTATTATTGATTCCTTTGAATCAATGATTTCATAATTTTTTTTTTTTGGTTGGTTGTTTTATAAATAAAGGTGCTGCAGCTTAAGTGCTGCAGCTGAACTCAACTTGCACAGTGCTCCATCTTCTGTGGTGTGATGTGTTACATGTTGTCAAGCTGAATCCAAGGGAAAAAATACAGAGTTAAAAATACCATTTTTGAGCCAATGAGGACTATTTGCATATTTGCATGGAAACATGGAGAAGCTGTTTTTTTTCCTGGGTATTTTTCAGTCTAAATTACAGGCCACGGTATGAAATGTGTGAGACCTTGGGTGTACCGAGTGAATGGTGTTTTGTCTTCCATGGAGCTCTTCCACCTGAGATATTCTGGCTGAGGATGGAGGTGGGAAATAGTGCCAGCACAGATATAAACCCCTGGTGACATTATCCTCCCACTCCTGTGACCTTACTGCTGAACCAGCCGGTGTTTCACTGATCTCATGGGCTGTGAGGTGACAAGGAAACCTGGAACAACCACCTGACCCGTGCTCAGACAGTTCAGATCTTCTCTGCAGATGAACAGTTTGAGGCAGCCAACAGGAATCTCCAGCGTGGGAGCTGGAGGTGGGATTTTAAGGGTAACTGAACGTCACTGTGCTTGATTTCTCTCAGCCTCCTCTCCCCGAGGGTGTTTTGCAGAGGTCTCCCCACATCAGCAGTGCTCCTTTCTGAAATCTGGGAGTAAAAATTGCAACATAACCAGACAGGATTTAAAACAGAACGCAGTGGTCTCATAGGTGTGTCCTGGCTGTCCCTGATTCGTGAGAAAACGCTGCCACTGTCACTGGCTCCCACTGGAGTTGGTGACATTAAAAATCCTGATTAGGGATTTTCAGAGGAGTGGAGCAGTTGCATACTTTTGTACAGTATCTGTACAGTACAGTATCAGGAATCTGGGGTTATTTTTAACCTGGATCCGTTTGTACTGACACACTGGAGGGGGAGAATGTGGTGGGAGAGGGAAGGGATGGCCTTGCAAATGTGTGATTTTCAAACTTCAGCCAGGGAGTGCAGATGCAAGTGTTGTATAAATAAATGTTGCTGCTGTGAGCAGGAGGAATGTCTTTGATAATCTCTATTCTCCTCCCAATTCTGTTTTAAACTTTTAAAGGAGAAGCAGTGTTTGATCCCTAACATACTAAATTCATGTCCAGAAATAATTGGAATCAGTAATTTGAAGAAACTCCACACAAAATACTTAACAGTGTCCAGGCTGCCAAGCCTTAATTTTTCTGATACACAGTAAATGAGCTACTTTGGTCCAGTTGGTTAACAGCCTTTAATTCCTAATGTAATGAGTCATTTGCCCTCCTCCCTGCACTGACTCACTGCTGTTCCAGGCTCCCTTCACTCTGCTCTGCCAAGTGTGGTTGCACATCTAAATGTCACTGTGGAATTTCGAGGTGCAGGTGCTGCTATTCTTAGGTCCTACTGGAATTCTGCTCATGATTTACAAACAAAAAAACCTCCAAAGGCTAACAGCACTGCACCTGTGCGTGGTGTGTTGAGTGTGAGTTACACCGAGGAGCATCTCTGGTGTAATGTGGGAGCAGGGTGTACTCTGGGCAGGGTGAGGTGTACCCGGTCAGGGTTCACGCTGAGAGCTCTTATCTTGTGTTCCCTCCTCCTGGTGACTCCCTGACTTTTCCACTTGCCCTTTATGCCGTGTAAACACTGGATTGAGTCCTCAGCCTGACCTCAGGTGATTCCTGACCTCTGCTCCAGCCTCAGGTGCTGGGACCGTCCCAGTGTTTGTGTGGTGTCCACGTGCTCCCCTGATCCCAAGGGATGTGGGACAGCCTGCTTTTCACATTATTTCCATTATTTCCCCAGAAATAATCCCTGCTGGGAGGTGCAAATGAGCAGCAGGGACGTGCCAATGTGGGGGAACACCCTGTGCCCTGGCTTGGTTTGGAGCTGCTGATGGATAAGGACAGTTGGGATGGATTATGGAGCAGGGAGACGCTGAGGTGGATTTTGCTCTGTGGAAAAACCCCGTGTCACCCTAAAACACCACAAACGTGGTTTCCTGGGAGAGAAAGAGGGCGCGGGGATAAATCCGGGAGCCTTGTTGAAGGGAACATGGAGGACGGTGATTATTGTACCGGGGAGATCAGTGAGCACACGCTGCGCTGCGGGGAAGGCTGTGGGGAGGAGCTGAGAGCACAGCAACGGGAAATGCCGCCATTCCCGGGGGGGGCAGGAGGGAATTCTGAGGGCACAGCGGGATCCCG